CTTCCTATGAACACCTGGTGACTACTCTGACATATGGGAAAGAAACTATCAAAGTGGATGAGATTACTGCAGCGTTTTTGGCTCACAACCAGCGGAAGCAGAATGCAGGGGGAAGCTCTCACGGTGACAGTTTATATGTGAAGAGTAAGCAGGATCGTGGAAGGAAGAAAGAGAAGGAGAGTTCTGGAAGGCGAAATTCCAGATCAAAGTCTAGAGGCAAAAAGGAAATTCATTGCTACAAGTGCAAGGAGTCAGGTCATATGAAGAGAGATTGTCCAAAGCTGAAGAAGCAGAATGGGGAGAAAGGTGATACTTCATCGAATTCTATAAATGTGGTGTAGAATGAAAATTCAGATTGCAGTGATGGTGATATGCTCTCAGTTTCATCAACTCAGTTCACGGATGCATGGATTCTGGATTCAGGGTGTTCTTATCACATAACACCTAATAGGGAGTGGTTTACTTCATACAGTTCAACTAATTCTGGCTCAGTCTATTTGGGTGATGATAGATGTTGCAATATAGTTGGTATTGGAGAAGTCAGAATTCAGATGTATGATGGCACTGTTAGAACGTTATGTGATGTCAGACATATTCCAGATATGAAGAAGAATTTGATTTCCTTGGGCACTCTACACAGAAATGGTTTTATTCCTAAGGCTGATGAGGATAGGGAAACCATCAAAATTGTTAAGGGTACACTGACGGTGATGAAAGGAAAGTTGACTGCAAGTAATGTCTACAGACTGTTAGGGAGTACAGTTGTAGGTGGAGTTCATTCTGTGGAGTCAGATAATGACAGTACAAAGCTATGGCATATGCGTCTGGGTCATCTCAGTGAGCGTGGGATGACAGAATTGCATAGAAGAAATCTGCTGCATGGGGTTAAAAGCTGCAAGCTCGATCTTTGTAAGTTCTGTATTCTTGGAAAACAGACTAGAGTCAGTTTTATGACTGGAAAGCACAAAACTGAAGGAATTCTTGATTATGTGCATTCTGATGTATGGGGCCCTACCAGGGAATTGTCATTGGGAGGATCTCAGTATTTCGTTACCTTCATTGATGATTTCTCCAGGAAAGTTTGGGTGTATTTCTTGAAGCAGAAATCTGAAGTCTTCTCTAAATTCAAGCTGTGGAAAGCTGAGGTGGAGAACCAAACTGGCAGAAAGATCAAGTATTTGAGGTCCGATAATGGCACAGAGTATACGGATTCGCAGTTTCAGAAATTCTGTGAGGAGCATGGGATTCAGAGGCATTTTTCAGTGCGGAAGACACCACAGCAGAATGGTGTGGCAGAAAGGATGAACAGGTCCTTAACTGAAAGGGCAAGGTGCTTAAGACTGAATGCAGGGCTTTCTAAGAGTTTCTGGGCAGAGGCTGTGAATATGGCATGCTATCTCATCAATAGATCACCTCGAGCATCATTGGGTGGCAAGGTCACAGAAGA